TCGGAGTGAGGTCGTGGGGTACCTGGGAGGCCGTTGGGACATCAACAGCCAGAGTGGGTATCTGGAGCGGGGCTCTTGGGTGTGGGGGTCAGGCCAACCTCTCCCCCCACCCCCCCAGCCTCACTCCTGCCTCCCCACAGTGCTCACGGTGCTGAGAGCCTTCCCCTGTCGCAGCCGGCTGGGCGACGCAGACACAGCGGCCACCATTGAAGAGGAGGTGAGGGGGCAAGAGGGCAAAGTGTGGGGCCTGGAGCCTGGCACAGTGTCTGCTCTGCAGGGCGGCAACCAGTGTGTGACGCACTGACCCCGAGGTGCAAGCACAGTTTGGGGGACATCCCGGTGTGGTTCCAGCATGGCCTTTGGGTCTCTGTGCACCCCTCTGTCCAATCTTCTCTCCGTTAAGGACTGAATGGTGTATGCCTTCCCCTCCCACCAAAAAACTGTTCCCAGTGCTAATCCCTGCACCCTTGGTTCTAATCTGGTTTGAGAGTGAGCTTTGTTATGCTAATAGGGCCAGGTTAATGTCCTGTGTTAATTGCTTTTTAGATAAGAGGCTGACTTTCCCTAGAGCTGGCGCCAGGAGTTGTGACTTCCAGCTTCCAAAACTGTGGGAGAATCCATTTCTGTACTAACGCCGCCCCCGCGTGGCTGTTCCATGTTATGGCAGCACTATGGCTTAGTGGCCGGGGCTTTCTGCTCCTGTAAAGCTAGCCTTGGACGCTCACAGGGACAGTTCTACCCTGTCCAACAGGGTCGCTATGTGTCGGAATCGACTCGCTGGCAGTGAGTTTGGGTTTTGGTTTAAGATAAGGTAACCAGATTTTAACATTGGTAAAGCGGGTAACCAGATTTTAACATTGGTAAAGCGGGACACCATTGATAAAACTCCTATCCTGGCGAAACAGCCACATGGCAGCCGAACACCATCGACCCTAACTTGTGGTGCATTCTTTCCAAAAATCGAGACTTTTTAAAAACGCCGCGGGACGTGGGAAAAATTGTTAAAGATCAGGACTGTCCCTTCAAAAGCGGGACGTCTGGTCACCTTAGTTTAAGAGCGCAATAAGCCATCTTCCCAGCGGCTGAGTAGCTGTTAAGAGCTTGTGAAGTTGTTGATTTTCCGGCGAACCCCCCATGGCAGAGTTAGGGCACCGTCCCATAGGGTTTCCCAGGCGATCAATTCTCTGGATGGGAGCAGATCACTGGGTCTTCTTTTACCCTCACTTGGTGACAGCGTGCTTTCTTTGAAACAAAATTACTGTGAATGCCCCATCGGGCTGCTCTGAGTCAGAACCAACACAAAAGCAGCAAGTTTGTTTTTTGTTTATTGTGAATGGGAAGTGTGTGTGTGTGTGTGTGTGTGTACAGAGCAGATCCAGTTTCCATTCAGCAGTTGGCCCACACGGTGTCATGTCATTGATGGCCATCTCCCATCCCATTCCTGCTTCCCAACTGCTCCGAACTCTGTCCTTGGCGTAGGTGCCACTGTCCCCTCTGTCCCTGGGCTCTGGGTAGGTGGAGACCGGGTCTGCCCTGGTCCCTGCCCAGTCCCCAGGCCTGGCTGGCAGTGCATGCTCCCTGACTGTGGCCCTGACAGGTCTGCCAGAGCCTGTTCCTACGGGGTCTGTCCCTGGTGGGCTGGTACCACAGCCACCCGCACAGCCCAGCACTGCCCTCGCTCCAGGACATCGACACGCAGATGGACTACCAGCTGCGCCTGCAGGGCTCCTGTAACGGCTTCCAGCCCTGCCTGGCCCTGCTCTGCTGTGAGTGCTGGGATGGAGGGCCGGTGGGTGGGCTGGAGCTGCTGGCCGCCCAGCCCCAGGGCCCAGCCCCTCTCCCTCTCTCCCCCCTCAGCACCCTACTACTCCGGCAACCCTGGCCCTGAGTCCAAGATCTTGCCTTTCTGGGTGATGCCGCCCCCTGAGGTAGGTGAGGTTCCTGGGCAGTGGACACTGGTCTGCGGCCTCAGTGCCCTGATGGGGCTGGGCTTCCAAGGGGCTTCAGCCAGGGTCTGCATGTGTGGGACAACATGTGCGATCCCCATGTGTGGGGAGGGAAGGATGCAAGCCCCCCTTCCGGCTGCCACTCCCCCCCCCCCACTGTCACACTGACATGTGGCTTTTATCCCCCAAGCACAAGGCTGAGCCAAGAATGGAATCTTGATTCTGGGGCTCCCAGCCTAGGGGCCCACCCTGGTGTCCCTGGAGTGGGGAGTGGGGGGTGATGAGGCCACTGTGACGCACACCCGTGTCCCCACCAGCAACGGCCGGGCGACTACGGCATCCCCATGGACGTGGAGACGGTCTACGTGCAGGACGGCTTCCTGACCAACGATGTCCTGCAGGAGATGGTGAGCCACAGCTCCCTCCTCGTCCCTCTGCGAGACCCGCCCTCCCTCCGCCCCACCTCCACCACCTTCCCCGCTGCTCAGGGGGGTTTCTGGGCCCACCCACCACTGGGCCCTCAGGGGAGGAGCCCCCGGTCCTTAGACGAAGGTTTGGAGACCTCCGAAACAGAGCTGGAGGTTTCAGGGGAGCCCCGGTGGCGCCACTGTGAAGTGCTCCGCTGCGAAATGAAAGCACGGGGCCGTGGCCCCGCCAGTCACTGCACGGGAGAAAGGCCTCGCAATCTGCTCCCATCAGAACCATGAGGTGCCGCCCAGTCCGTCCCGACTCACGGAGACCCGTGGGTGGTCCAGGTTCAGGGTTCTCTGGGTGTTCTTTGGCAGTGCCATCCTTCAGTGGCACCAGTCCTGTGGTCCTCGTATTTGTGGTTCAGCTTTTGAATATGCACATGAGGTGACTGAAAGTACCCATGGCTTGGCTCAGGAGTACCTCCGTCCAGTGGCGTCCTTTGATTGTAGCACCTTGGAGAGGTCTTCGGCCACAGACTTGCCCAGGACAACACGCCCTTTTAATTCTCCACTGCTGCTTCCGTGGGCGTGGATGGTAGATCCTGGGCAAACGAAGTCCTTAACGCCAATAAGTGGAATACTTCATGGATGGGGCGAAAGATGGGGCTTTCTGCTCCCGTAAAAAATTTTAAAATTGCGCTGGAAATCCCCAGGGGCAGTTCTCCCACACAATCATCCAATCAGAAACATATGGGGTGGGGCAGGACTGGGCGTGGCTTTATTTTGTGCCTGGGGTCGCTGAGAGGTGGGGCCGACTGACCAGCAGCTGGCAGCATTGCCTAGGGATGAGGCCATGCCAGGGAGTGACCTTGGGTCCCTGTGGACATGGGCAGACTCTGCAAGTGGGAGTTGTGGGGGGAGAAGGGCTAATGCGGGAACACCCGGTTGGGAGCTCGGGGCTTGGTCTACCGTCATTTTCCTCCGGAGTCTCCAGCACAGATTTGGGTGTCCTGTGGCCTGGCACAGTGGGCAGAGGGCAGCGGGAAGGGGCAGTGAGTTCCTCCTGTCTGACCCCTAGATGCTGCTGCTGGAGTTCTACAAGGGCGCCCCTGACCTTGTGAGGTTCCAGGAGCCCTGGAGCCAGGAGCACACCTACCTGGACAAGCTGAAGGTGCGCCTTGGGCCCCAACCAGCACTGGGCACGCCCTTCTAAGGGGGCCCCTTTGGAGGAGGCCCCCTCCCCCCGCTAATTTATACCCACGTTCGAGGTCAGTCACTTTCCTTTCCTTCCTGTCTGTACAACAATGTTGCCGGGAATTAGCCAGGAGCGGCCTTGGGGCGTCCCACTGGGGTGTTTTCAAATTGGGAGGGGCGGCCGCTCTGGGGCCTGTGCAATACCACGGCTGCCCGGAAGGGGGCTTGCGCGGTTTGACTAGTGCCCAAGCTCGCTCTCTCCGTCAACCCCCCCACCCTGGTGGTGCCCAGCGCCCACCCAGTGGGTTTCTTGCTTACAAACCCTTCTTGCTCCGGCGTTGTAGCCACACACACCCCCATACCAAAAAAAAAAAAGACTAAAGGCTGCACACAGGGTTCCCATCGCGGAGGGAGAAACGCAGGATGGGAGCGCAGCCTTTGGTCCCGCCCCATGCGTCCGTCCGTCAGTCCTTCAGGCAGCCCCCTGAGCAGGGCGCCCCCTCCCCGTTGCAGATCTCGCTGGCCAGCCGGATGCCCAAGGACCCGGGCCTGTGCCACGTGCTAGAGCAGGTTTACAACGTCCTCAGACAGGGCAGCTGAGCCCGGCCCTGCCGCTCCCGTAATAAAGACCCCGGCAGCCGTCGACTGCGAGTCTCACTACGCTTGGGACAGAGGGGGGCCTACCACAGACTGCCCCCCCCCACACACACAATACCCAGGGGATCAGCCTGGTGCCGGGAGGGCCCAGGACACATGGAGACAGGGTGGGTGGGAACTCTGAGGGTAAGTGGTCACCAAGCAGACACTGTGACAAAGTGACGGTGTGTACAAAGAGACATTTAATACTTTTTTAAAAACCAGGGTTCCGTTTCAATGTGCCCTGGGTGGCTAGACGTTGCTTCCAAGGGTGCCTGTGTCCGGCAAAGGCCAGGGACACAGGGCAGGTCCCGGTGAGCGGGTGGGGAATGTGGGTGTGGGAGGAGCCTGTGCACCTCCTTGGCTGCAGAGGGGGCGGGGCCTGCTCTGGGGATCTGGATTCCCAAGAGTGGCCTCCTTGGTCTGGAGGGTCAGTCTGCAGTGACCCTGCTCCCGAGGTGGCCCAGGCGCCAGGGAGGGTCCTGTCCTGGAAACCTTTGTGCTTGCCCATCTTGGGGAGAGCGGGGGCTGTGGCCCATGGTCCCGTGCTGGGGGCTAAAGTGTGTGTCGCTGGTAGTGGCTGCAGCCAGACACACCCCTTGTTTGTGCTTGGCTGGGGCAGTGGGAAGGAAAGGGGGCAAGTAGAAAAGTGGGGCATACGGGGGTGGGGGGTGGGGGAATAGTGGTGGTAATCGCATTGGGTGGGCTGCAGAGGGTTAATGAGACAGACACAGTGGGAGGCTGGCTGGGCCTGGGGCAGACCAGGGCCATGGCCCAAGGGAGCTGACTGCACAAAGGATGGGGAGAGGCCCTGGCCGGGTGGCTACAAAAAATCCCCCATCCCTGGAAGGTGGCTGCTGCTTGGAGCCTGGGGTGCAGGGCACAGGGTGGGGCCCTAGAAGACCCCCATCAGTAACAGGATGGGGAGGGAGCCTCATGGGGGACATTACAACCAAAGGTGTGGTATAACCCATTCTCCCCTAAGACTAGGGACTCTGGGCAGGCAGGGTGTGAGCCCTGGGTTGAGGACGGAGGTGGGAGGCCCCAGGCTGGGAAGAGGGGCCCACCAAAGCCCCAGGGGGCTGGGGGTAGTTAGTGTTTCAGAGAGCACCTTTGTGTCAGCCCCACCTGGGGGTCCGACTGGGCTGGAGGCGGAGCCAGTAGGAGGAAGATGGCTCCACCCTACAGGCCAGGTGGAGTTGGGTGCGGGGAGGTCGGTAAACTGCCCTGCTTGGGCCAGGCAGCACAGGCCGAGGGCAGCACCTGGGGTGACCCTGAGGGGCCGGCCCTGGAGAGGGCAGGGAGGGGAGCCCCGTGAGTGATCACTGCGGCAGCGGCACCAGCACCTCCACGTAGCTGAGCGGGAAGAAGCCGGACTGGCCGTTGAGCATGCCCTCGTACCAGTTCTCATCGATCTGGTTGGTCAGCGTGATGACGTCGCCCTCTCGGAAGCCCAGCTCGCCGTCATTCTCCGGCTCAAAGTCGTACAGGGCCTTGCAGCTCGGCTGGTCCAGGGGTGCTGGGGGGGCAGGGGCAGGGGCTGAGAGACAGGCCCTTCAGCTTTCCTCTGGGCACCCTTCCCTGTTCCCTCTCTGCTGGGGCGGGTGGGGAGTGGGGCACGCAGGTAAGCTATGAGGGACACCAATGTCTCTACCACACCCGCCATCGCTCAGGCAGGTGCTGCCCGGGGCCTGCAGCTCCCACCTATGGGAGTGTGTTTGTGGGGGTCCCGCCCACCTATGGGAGTGGAGGGTCCTATACCGGGACACTCACGCATAACTCTACTGGGGGTCCGGATGGGCTTGTCAGAAGACCGGAAGGATGAAGATGCTGTAACCCAGAAAGACAGGTGCTTGTGGTCCATTCAGCCTGCCCTCATGTGGTCAGCAGGAGTGGGTCACGCCGGTTCCCATGCTTTACCTGAGATCTTGGGTGCTGTGGCACAGGGGAAGCCCCCATTGGACTGTTCCGCTTCACCCAGGTCGTAGGACTCCCGGGGCTTGGGCTTGAACTCCCGCTTAGGGCGGGCCGAGGCCTCCCGCATCCTGCAGGGAGCAACCAGAGCGGCATCAAGGCGGGGAGCCCACACCTAGGGACTAGAGGCTGGGAGTGGGAGGGGGCCTTGACCACCCACCCCTGGGTGACTGTGGCAAGGAAGGAAAGCCTCCCCACCCAGATTGGCAGGTTGTGACAGCCAAGGTGAGCCTCTGTCCCAGAGTGTCAGCATGGCCACGTCACACGCTGGGGCACAGCTCCCGGCTTAGGCCGATGTAGGGTGCTGTCCATACCCTGCAACTGGCAGTAGGGTTTGGCCGAGGGCAAGCCCGCCCCCACCCCGGGAATCCTGGGAGGAACACAGACTTCGGCTGGGTGGGTGGTGGGGCCCCTCACCTCCGCTTGAGTTTGTCAGCCAGCTCGTCCAGGATTTGCACGGCCTGCCGGTGGTAGTCCAGCTGTGCGTCCACCAGCGCCGAGAGCTGGCTCACCTGCTCAATCTGCCAGGCCAGGTGTGGCTGTGGGCGTGGCTCCTCCACACCACGCCCATCCTGGCCCCACCCCCAAACCAGGGTCTGCCTAACCCCATGTCTCCGCCCCCAGGGTCCACCCTTCCCTGCTGCCTCCGCCCCCAAGGCCCCGGCAGGGGTGGGTGCGCACATCCGTCTCCAGGAGGTTGTGCATGCTGGTCTCCGCCACCTCCTTGGACTCCTCGAACTTCTCCAGGGCCTGGCGCAGCTCCTCGTCGGGGATCTTGCCCTGCCGCTTCTTCTTGTAGTCAAAGTCCAGGCGCCGGCCCTCCAGCTTCTTCAGGTGGTGCTGGGGCACAGGGATGGCCGTCACCCCTCTGCCTCTACAAGCACCTACTGCTCCTTCAGCCAGAACCAGGCACCCGGGCAGGTTGGGGTGGAGGCAGGGGTGTGTGTGTTATGAGTACCGTGAGCCCACACAGGGCTGTGTGTACCTGGTGTGGATGTATGTATATGAGGGCTATCTGTCTGGTGTGCATGGTTGTGGACGAGCATGTGGGGTGTGGTAAGCATGTATGCCAGTGAATGTGCACGTGGAGTGGGTGCTGTGGGTGTGCATGTGGGGCTAGTGTGTGCACCTGGATCTCCTTGAGGTCCTTGTCACACAGGTTCTGCAGGGGGTCAATGAAGTTCTGCTTGACCTCGATGTCCAGGGAGTCCTTCACCTCAGCCAGCCGCTTCATAGACTCCCCTGCGTCCAGCAGGGCATCACCTGGGGGCAGGCAGAGGTCGTCACCTGTGCCCTGGGGTCATGCCACACTAAGGCCACTGTGCCAGTTCCGACTTAGCCACCTTGGAAGGCAGACCGGCACTGCCCCCGGGGGAGCCCAAGACCCTAATCCTCAAGGATGGAGATGGCCACCTCTTTCTCCCACGGGGCCATGGGGGCGGAGCAGCAGAGAACAGACAGGGCTCTGGCTGTCCTGCTGCTGCCCCCAGCTTATGGGGGGCACCAGTTGGCATGGTGTGAGAGGCGGACCCTGCTGTACAAACCACAGGGTCCTCCAGAGAAGGTTCTGGGAACACACTGCCTACAGGACGCAGGCTTAGGCCCAGCCGTGCGTGGGGGCCCTGCTCACCGAAGTTGGACTCGCCGCCCAGCTCCCTGCCGTGGCGCGTCATGCACTCGCCCAGCAGGCCCTCGGACTGCGGGTAGCCGGGGTTCTTCACCTGGCCCCGGATCTTGGACACTGTGTTGAGCATCGTCAGCTTGGCTCGCGAGGCTGCAAGGATTGGGGCCAGGTGGGTACGGCGCAGGAACACCCAGCATCATGAAAGTACCCCTCTGTCAGGCACAGTGGCTGGCAGCTCTTGTGGGCACTGAGGACCCCCCCCACCAACTGTCTGTGAATTTGCTGAACGGTGGAGGCGTGTGCGTTGCGGTGATGCCGGAAGCTGAGTCACTGGGATTCCACGCGGCAGCAGGATCGACCAAAGGGAACCGGTTCCAAGGGAGCTACTAAGAACAGGTTGCAGAGAAGGGAAGTCGCTGACAAGCTAACGCATAGATCTGAAGCATGTTCAAACACCGGACGCCTAAACAAAGGAGGCAGAACACTGTCCACCTTGAGTCTATCCCACTTGGATTTCGAAATCATCTCAGGAACAGAGCTGAGGCACTGAACACTAATGACAGAAGATCTATGAGCTGTGGGAGGCCATCAGGAACACCATTCATGAAGCGCACAAAGGTCAGACAGGAGAGAAAAGATGAACGGAGACGTCAGAAGAGACTCAAACTTGCTCTTAACCGTAGGGCAGCTAACGCAAACGGAAGAAAGGATGAAGTCAAGGAGCTGAATAGAAGCTTTCAAAAATGAAAATAATAATCTATCATCTATCAAGGTGCCACGGGGGGAGGGGGGACAGCCAATCCCAAGGGACAATAGAAAGCAAATGTCTAGAAAAGAACGATGGGGTACATGTACTAATATGTCAGATACGATTGATGTACGGATTGTAGCAAGAGTTGTAAGAGCCCCCAATAGAACGATCGTCAAAAAAAAGGAAATTTCAAAGAAAAAGCCAAAGCCAAATAATTATACAAAAATGCACACAGACCTTGAATGAGAAAACCAAACGGGAAGAGCACACTCAGCATATCTGAAACTAAAAGAACGCCAAGAAAAACATTCAAGCCTCTAGGTGGGATTCTGAAAGATTCTATAAGCAAAATATGGAATGACGCCGGAGGCATCAAGAGAAGATGGAGAGAACACACCGAATCGCTGGACCAGAAAGAGCGAGCCGATGCCCACCCTGTCAGGAGGCAGCATCTGAGCAAGAACCAAATGTGCTGCAGGAAGACGTTCAAACGGCACAGGAAGCATCAGCCAACAACAAGGCTCCGGGACTTGACAGCGCACGCTGGCATGTTTCAGGAGCTGAAGCAGCAGTGGGAGCCCTCGTGTGTCCGTGCCATTTCAAAGAGGGGACCCGACAGAATGCTCAGCCAGAGAACGTCATCACTGACGACGCACAAGTGACATCTTGCTGGGATCGCCAGCGATTACAGCAGCACGCTGCCGGGGAGCTGCCAGAAGTTCAGGCCGGATTCAGAAGAGGACGTGGCACAAGGGGTATCGTTGCTGCTGTCAGATGGATCTTGGCTCAAAAGAGCGACTGCCAGAAAGATGTGAACTTCGGTTTTGACTGTGTGGGCCATAACAAACTGTGGATGGCCTTGAGAAGGATGGGCATTTCAGAATACTTCACTGCGCTCATGAGTAACTTGTGCATGGGTCAAGAGGCAGTTGTGTGAACAGGACAAGGGCACACTGCATGGTGTAAAATCAGGAAAGGGGTGCGTCAGGGTTGGATCCTCTCATCGTTCAATCTGTGTGCTGAGCAAATCATCAGAGAAGCTGGATTGCATGAAGAAGAGTGTGCAGCTCAGGACGGGAGGAAGGCGTATTAACAACTTGCTGTTTGCAGACCACACACCCTTGCTCGCTGACCGTGAGAAGGACTTGAAGCCCTGCTGAGGGAGATCAAGGACTGCAGCCTGCAGTGTGGATGACACCTCCGTGTAAGGAAGACCCAAATCCTCACCACTGGACCAAGAGGTAACATCCTGATAAATGGAGAAAAGGTTGACGTGGTCAAGGATTGTTTTACTTCGATCCACAATCAGTACTCATGGAAGCAGCACTCGAGATCAAAAGACTGATTGCACTGGAGAAATCTGATGCACAAGACCTCTTTAGAGCATACTGAAAAGCTATGTTACTAGAGGACGGGTATTCTCCATTGCCTCCTATGCATGTGAAAGGTGGATGTTGCCTAAGGAAGACCACAGAAGAATCCATGCTCCTTAGAGGCAAGAATGGTAGGACTTGGTCTCACGTGCTTTGGACGTGTTGTCAGAAGACCGGTGCCTGGAGAAGGACAGCATGTTGGTGAAGCAGCAGGGCGGGGGGAGAGAGGACGGCCCTTGATGAGACGGATGGACACCACGGCTGCAGGAATGGGCTCAGGCAGAGGGACCGCTGTGGGGGCGGCACAGGGCCCCGCAGGATTCCCTTCTGTGGTGCAGACGGGGGCTGTGGGTCGGCGCCGACCCAACGGCACCTGACAGCAACAACAACAGGGCACCCCCACCCCCAGCTCCCGCCCCATCAGTTACTAAACAGCAGCGATGCCCCTTCTACACAGCCCTTCTCCCAGCACAGACCCAGGGCTCAGGGCCCTGGGGTACCTCCTGTACCCCCTCCTCGACTCCTGGTACAGTAGCTTTGGGTGGGCTCTTGCTCCAGGGAAGGGTCTTGGCCACCTCAACCTTGATGACCCAGCCGCAGGCCTGCCCGACAGTCTGAGCACTTCAGGGAGACTCAGTGAGTGAGGTGGGAACGAGCCGCTGGCCGCTTAAGCAGGAAATGCAGTCACCAGAGGACATGCCCAGACTCCTGGATCCCGCTGTGCCTGAAGCGTGTCTAGTTTGGCCCCAGGCAGCAGCAGGCGGGCACCCACCTGGGTTAGGCTGAAGGTACTCGATGGTTCTGGCCAGCACCTCCACCACAGCCTTGCTGGTGACGTCCACTTTCTAAGAGAGGAAGCATGTGAGGTTCACTTCGAGGGCCCTGAGCCCAGAGTACCAGCTTCTGGACCCCAAGCTTCTGGAAAGTCCCCGAGGCTCCCTGGGGAGAACCACGGAGCTTCCAGCTCTGCAGGCCAGGGCTGGTGCAGGACCTTGTACCAGCACATCTACTTGAGGTGTGGCCTGGGCCCACGTGTGGGCAGGCCTCACCCTCTAGCCAGAGTTCCACCCCGTGCTCAGGACACACGATCCCCTTCACCTTTTCCATCTCCTTGAAGTCATCGTCAAGCTTGGTCCCCTCGGCTCCTCCGACCTTCTCGCTGACCAGCTGCAGGCACAAAAGGGGGGGGGGGGGAGGGTGAGCCTCAAGGGAGATGGGACGGGACGCCCCACTCACTCAGGATGCTGTGTACCATACACAGGCAGGTGACGGGACAGGGGAAGCTGCTACGGGCTCAGCCACCGACCACCGACATCAGAAGCCCCCTCAGAGTGGAGGCTGCCAGCTGCCCTGTGTGCCTCACACACACCAGGCTGGGGGCCCCAGGGCAGGACCTTGTCCTGGGCACAGTGGCATGTGAACACCTAGGAAGTGCTCAGACATGCTGGGTCCCAAAGTCAACCCCGAGATGGGAGGCTGGGCTCGGTCATTAGGGCTGGTGAGGAGCTGATGGGGCTCATCCTGGGCAGCTGATGGGGGTCCATCCGTTCTTCCAAGGTCTAGGGTCAACTTTCAAAATAAAGACCACCATGCTGGTGGCCAGGCCCAGGAGCTGATGGTGGGGTGCTGCCCCGCCTCTCCCAGCTCTGGGCCACACTTGCAGACAGCAGCACAGGACTCAGCTGTGTGCGCACCTGGCCCTTCAGGACAAGTGTGCTGGGTGAGGAGAGCAGGAGCCGCGCTTAGGTGATGCCTGACATCACATGTCCTGGTCCCCAGGCTGCTGATCAAGGTGCTCCACTCTCCCCTCAGCTCACTGGGCAGCCCCCTGGGGTCCTGCCCCCCCTTTCCACCCTCCCCGGGCCAAGGCTAAGGAACCTTCCTGAGGAGCTGTCTGGTTGGGGACATTCCTGGAGTTCCCCACTGGAGGCTGGGCTGCCCAGGCAGGATGTAACTCCACCCCCTCTTCCCGGTTGCCACTGTTAGGTGAGTAGGTTCCGACTCAGAGACTGACAGACAACAGAAGGAGACACATCGCCGGGTCCTGTCCATCCTCACAACTGTACTGGTGCCCAATGCTGCAGCCACGTGCCGGTCCATCTCCCAAGCCATGGGTACTCAGTGTCCAACTTCCACACGCCGATGACGCGAGTGAGAGACCATGGCTTGGGTCAGGAGCACCTGAGTCCTCAAAATGATGCCCTTGCGTTTCAGCACTTCACAGAGGTCTGTGCAGATGCCCAGCGCCCCGTGGCTTTGAGAACCTGAGGAAGGCCCCTCCTGCAGCCTGCCCTGCCAGCCTCAGTGTCCCCTCAATGAAACGGGATGAGGGCAACCACCTCTCCATCTGCAGGGGGCAGGTGGGGGGACTTCAGGCTCTGGGGGCCTTGAGGCCAGTGGTCTCCCAGCTGTCCCCTGTACCCACCCCAGGAGACGAGCCAGTGCAAGAGAGGGTGGAGTCCCCTGCAGAGGGGCAGGATGGAAGGTGGGCCGTGCCAGCCTGGGAGGGGTGTGGGGCTGCGCTCCCCATCTACTGCTAGAGGTCATGGAGAGACCCTGCCTCACCCTGGGATTTCTGGGTGTTCCGCTTTAATTCCCGAGCAGTTTCACTTCTTTTGATGGTGGTAATACAGGCGGGGCAGGGCCAGGAGAGGGCCTGGGGGGAGGGGGGGCTGCAGCGAAGCGTGGAACCGCGTCTTCCTTCTGGGGGGCACCCCAGCCAGCCCCTGGGCTCAGAGGAAGGAAGTGAAAGAGGCGCCCTGGGACTCAGACGTGCCCCCATAGCGCCACAGCACTGAACACCTCTGGTCTCAAGACACCTTACCAGAAGGGTGCTCCAGCCTCTGACCAAGACCTCCTGCTGACCCACATGAGGCCATCGGGCCCCAGACTCCATTTACAACCTTGTGAGTCTAGGGCAGGCTGACCTCACAGCAGTGACATGCTTGGTGCCTGGCTCCCGACTCAAAGGCTGATGGTTCAAAAGCAAGTGTCTTCTTGGCTGCTAACTCACAACCCAGAAACCCTGTCCTGGGGGTCATCGTCATCAGAGTGGACGATGGGGCAGCTAAAAACACCCACCTACCTCCCCAGGCAGAGTGCTGCTGGGAAGATGGACCAAGGGAAGAGGAAGAGACAGACGCACATCTCAGGATTCAGGTGGTCCAGCATGTGACCACAAGGTCCTGGGCTCTGAGGGGCAGAGGTTTCTCCAGAAGCCGAGGCGTCCCCAGGGATAGCCCAATGGTGGGAGGGTGAGCCTGGGCTCCCCGCTTCCCAGGTGCATGTGGCCCGAGCCCTGCAGCTCAGCTGGCAAGGAGACCTCGGGGCTGGTACTTTAGGTCCCACAAAGGGTGGCTACAGCAGGGGCCCAGCACCGCCTGGGATGGGACTCCGTCTCCTTTGCTGCTCACCACAACCTAGTGCCCAGGGCTGAGACCCACGCCCAGAGGCCGACTTGCTTCATCAGCAACTAAGCTGCAAGTGGGAGCCTGACCTGGTGCATGGGGCACAGGCCCTTCGAGCCCTGCCCCCAGGGCTGCCAGCGCTGGTGTCCCCTCACCCAGCAACCTCCCCCCTAGGCTTGAGTCACCAGTAGAGGCCACCCAGCACACAAAGGACGCCTTGTGCCACCCACACGGGTGTGATGAGGCGAGTGCCTCCTCTCCTCAGGGAAACAGACGGCCCGCCCCAGAAGGCACGTTCCTGAGCTGCCAGGCAGTGCCACCCGGAAGTCCTTCAGGAAAGGCACAGGGCCAGGGGGCTGGGTCTCGGCTGGAATGTGCTGATCTGGCAGGGTCTCTGTCCACAGAGAGGTCCACCTGGCACCCAGGGGGTTTCCATGTCAGGGGTGGCTTTGCTCCCGTTCTGGGCTCCCCGGCCGGCCCGGAGCCCTCTGCTGGCCCCAGGGAGGACCCTTCCTGCACTCCAGATTATTGGTCTCTGCCACCTCTGTTACGCCTTCATCCATCCATCCATCCATCTCTCTCTCCTTCTTACAAAGACAATGTCCACCCTACTCCCCCAGGAGGTGGCCCTGGCACTGTCTTTATGTTTGGCTGCTGACCCAAGGTTGGCAGTCCAAACCCACTCAGATGGACCTTGGAAGAAAGGCCTGGCGATCCCCTTATGAAACACCAGCCATCACCAACCCCAGGGGTGCAGTCCTGGTCTGACACACGTGGGATACAAGCAGCCAAGCGCCTCCCCTTGGTCCTGGTGGTTACCCTGGGACTGGGCTCCCCTCAGCAGAGCAAGGTGAGCAACATGGATGGGGCATCACTGGAGCAGGCAGTCAGAGGAGTGGAGGGCTCTGTGGCACTAACTGGCCATCATGGCAATGAAGGAGGGTCCAGCAGCCCCTCCTAAAGACAGGGAGACTGAGTGCCCCCAGGCTCCACTCTGGCTTGTGGCCTGGCCAGAAATCAGGGAAGGGGGTGCTGCCTGGCACAGTGAGGACCCCAAGGGACTGATGTGACCCCATGACCAGGGCTAGAATGTTCCAGAACTGGATGGCAGTTCATTGGAGGTGGCTGCTATCTCCGAACCTCTTTCCAGCTCTGGTTGCCCCTCCCGGCGGCCTCCCCGCATCGAGAGCCCCGTGCAGAGCACAGCCATGGCAACAGCCCGTGTTTCCACCACAGGCTCCCTCCCAGTGAAGCAGTCTGGCAGGGGCACAGCTGGGATGCTCGCCCCGCCCCTGATCCTCCCTCTGTGCTCCAGGGCTCCTTGCTAGCAGGCCAGCAGGGCAGTGTGTGCGAGGGTCACTGTGCCGGCCGTGGGGCCTTGCTCAGAGTCTGTGGTGGCCCCAGGACCTCCCTTGGGAGTCACCTGATGGTGAAGGACTTGCCAACCATGTTTCTCTGCCCCCACCCCCAGGAGTCCTGGGGTCTGGTGCCTCCAGGGGTCCCAGGCAAGAGGGGGCTTGGGGTACAGGGTTGCGGGGCTGCAGATTGAGAGACTAGCTGCCCAGAGCTGAGAGAAACAGGAAAGTAGCCAGTCTACATCTGGCCTGACGGCGGCTTGGGTCAGGTGGGGCCTGGGCTCTCCTGAAAGTCCAAGTCAGACCCTGAGGAGGGATGCCCTCCCACATGCCTGGGCTGCGCAGATCCCCTCTGCAGAGGGGCTCTCCAAGGGGGAGCGATGGTCAGGCACTGTTTTTCAGTGGAAAGCCCAGCCACCAGTCCAAGTGAGGAGCAGACCCCCACCAGAGGCTCAGCTGCAGGAAACAGCCAGAGGAGCAGGCCTCTTGGCAGAAAGGGGACCTGTGGCAGCCGCCCCAACTCTGAGTCAGGAACCAGATGGTATGCTGGCTTTGCTGTCCCAGCT